TCGCAGGCTACGAGTCTTAACAGAAACAGATCGCCTCATCTTTCTCCAGACGAGCGGCTGATGGCTTTGAATTGCTGGCCTTCTGATGAGCAGGCCAACGTGCCGCCCATCCGTCCCGACTTCATTACGTCTCACTGCCTCGGGGACTCCTGGGCAGCCCCGGTGACGCAGCAGTTCAGCAATCCGATGCTACTCAGAAAGCTGGTGGTGCCGACCCCACCAGAGGCCCCGTGGGAGAAAACCCTGTCTGTCTGCGTCCATAAATACAACAGGCTGGGGGGCAGGAGGAGTTGGGCTCAACCCCACAGCACTCGGTGACAGCCACGGGCTGGCTGGGGAAGGGCCGAATCTTCCACCGTAATTCCCGATGGAACACCGTGCAGCCCCTGTGGGGAGGCTGAGGCGGCCCAGGAGGTTTGCGCGTTGCTGGCGAGACTGTCAGTTGGGTCGCGGCTGAGGAGAGCAGTCAGGTAGTTTCCAAAAAATAAAAGTCCCACGTGGAGTTACCATCTGCCTTAGCACGTCCACTCCCAGGACTGTATCAGGCAGGGATGAAGACGTGTTCCCACACGACTGCTGGTTTCAGGACGCTGCTGGTAGCAGGATCTACCCCACTCCGGACTGGAAATGCACCAAGTGTCCGTGCACAGATGGCCGGGGAAGCACAATGTGGGCCATCCACACAATGGACGACTATCCCGCCTTAAAAGGGATGAAACGGAAACCCTGGTGCATGCTGCGGGGGTGGGATGGGGGGGTGGGGGCTTAAAATCTCAAGCTGCTGAGTGAGAGACCCGGGGCATGGAAGGAATACATGTCCTCTGGTTCCGCTCGCATGGAAATGTTCAGGAAAGGCAATTCTGCAGAGACAGAAAGTGGCTTAGTGGTTGGAGGAGAAAGAATTGGCAGTGATAGTTGATGGCTATGTGGATTCTCGTTGAGTTGATGGGAATGTTCTGGAAGCGAATGGTTACGCCTCTTGAGAAAGAATGCTGCTGCATTTCCTCTACTTTCTGATCGATCAACTGGCATCGCTGATATCAGAATGGCAGACCTTTCTTCTTGGAATTTCACCCCCTCGCCCCCCCCCCCACCAAAATCTGGATTTGCTTTTATCCTAGGGGACAATGGAGGATTAGTGGTAGAATTTTCACCTCTCATGCATAGACTGGGAATTGGTTCCTGGTCAATACAGCTCACACACAGCCACCACTTGTCTGTCAATAGTATGTTGCTAGGCTACTGAACATGTATCAGCAGAGCTTCCAGACTCAGGAAGCACAACCAATTCTGGGGATGGTGCAGGACCAATGCTGTGTGTGGAGCTACGGTGAGGGGGGGGGCTGACTCCATCGCATCAAATGACCACCAACCTAGCCCCCCAGGCTCCCAGCAGGAGGCCTTATGAGCTCAGCACACATCTTTATGGATCAGAGGGAGAGAGAGAGAGAGAGAGAATAAGGGTGGAAGGGGACAGTCCGTTAGCAAGTAAAACTTTTATTAAATAAATTTTAAGTTTCTTCAGACCAAAGAGAGGCGTTTTTGGACATTAAGACAATGCTTGTTGCTTCTCACTGAAACACAGGACAGTCACAAGAATGTCTCTGGCCACAGGAAATCTTCTTTGACACGAAATTCAAACCAAGTCAACCCAAAGTTCCCTCTAAGTTCTTCTTCTCTTTCTTGGCATTTCTGTGAAAGTGTGTGTGTGTGTGTGTGGTGTCTAAAATTCGGTTCGTAAGTGGAAACTTCATGAAAGTTCTCGTAGCAGAAATAAAGTACATTGTACAAATCACGCAGGTCTTCGAAGTGGAGTATAAAAATGATATTTACAGCCAGTAAACAGATCAGAAGGATACACACGACGGCACACCAGCACCCACTCCCAAGCCCCACTGGGTGGGGGGCTTGGTGGGGCATGAGGGGGGAAGACGACGAGGCCCCCCGGAACACACTTGCACACGCTTGCACACGTTTGCACACGCGGACGCTTCGACACAGGCACGCTAATAGGAGTGTCTTGGAACAATTATCAAACTCTGGAATATCGAAACAAGTTGGTCAGAAGAGTTTTTTTTTTCCCTTTACCTTTTTTTTTGTTTTGTGTTTTTTTGTATTTTTGTGGTTTTTTT